AAAAACCCCCCCCCCAAAAAAAAAAAAAAAAAAAAAAAAAAAAAAAAAGCAAAAAAAAAAAGCTCCCATAAAAAAAAAATTATCCACACTGTCTCATTCACATAATGCTAAAGAGGAAGGGAGAATGTCTATAGTCTGAACAACGATGGTTAAAATAATACTGTATTATGATGCAGATAAATGAACAGGCAATAATTCTTCTTAAGACTAGATAGCAGGCTGTACAAATCTGTATGCTTATATTAGTAAATCTCACTTAAAATGTTAGCACCCTTATTTATGACTTTATTTTATTTTGCCCAATTTCACGAAGTATCACCTTTGACTCAACAAAATTCCCCTCAACTTCCATTTTGGGCCCCCTGAAAAGCTGCTCATATTGAAATATTGGAGTCTAAGTTGTTATACATCCTACCGAGTCTGAGGAAGAGACAATGATTTTAAAGCCTCTGTTCTTAATAAGAAAAAATTATTACTGTTGTGCTTTGTCTTAATACAACTGGGATTTGTTACTATTAAAATGCAATGTTGCATATGACACAATTTTACCACAAAAGTAGTTTCAGAATATAATATACTTAGAGTTTTGGTGAATGGAAGAGTAAAATACACCTAAAGTAAGAATCATATCCTTTACAGTAACTCTTACAGAACTGAGCTCTGTGCTGCTGTGACTCTCCATAGTGATAGGCAGTATGCTGTTTGTGCAACAGTCTGTGCAATTTGACAAATTTCTGTAAATCAAACACTCTAAGTGCAACTCCATAATGTGAAAAAACAGCAACAGACAACTAATGTTTTACTTTTATTAAAATGTCTGAAAGGGGTCCAGTAAGTATTGAAGTGTCAAATAAAAACAATAATGCATTCTCTTCTTTACTATGTCTGACTAACTCTGCACTTTTCATTATGTGGCATTAAAGGATGTCTCAAGACTTTAAATAAAATATGTAGTGCAACTATTTCTACCTTTACTTCATTCTTGGGAAAATCTCAGACAGTAAAATCTCATTGAATCAAGCTATTGAGATTTGGTTCAAGGACCTGTGAAACAGAACCAGCGACAAACATGCTCAATGGCTCTGACCCTCCAGATTGCCAGAACTCATAACCCCTTTGCACTTAAATCTTTTCAAAGACGCTTGTTCTGAAGTGATGTTATATATGCAGCATATTTTGTATACATAAACATATATTTTTATTCCTTTTGCATGACATAAGGCATGCAAGAGTTAAGCTAGAAATGTAATCCGCATTATCTCAGACCATACTGTAGTGAGGAGCAGAGAAAACACCTACATGATTCGTGGATACTAAATTCGGGGGATTTTTTAAATTTGTGTTTTTCTTCACATCTTTGATTTCTTCAGAACATTCTGTTCTGTAAGTACATCATGCTCAGTGTCATGCCTTCACATAACTACTCTTAAGCCATAGCCTTTTCAGCAAAATACTGAGTGTACAACTATCCACAAGCAGGTGATAGTGGGGAGGAGGGTAAAAATTGTAAATCCACTCTTCACTGGGCTTCACACTTTTATATAGCATACTTTTTGACCCTATAAAACCCCACAAAATGTTACGTGATTCTTGACTGAAGAGTGCACTACTTTGCTTGACAGTAAATGACAACCTGAAAAAAGCTGCTGTGTATAAATAAAATGACACACTGTGATGGGAAGAGTTAGCCCATCAATTCTTGTCAAGGAATGAAATTCATAGAGCTTATGAAAAGAATTTTTGTGATACAAAGGCTAAAGAAGATGCACTGTGTCCCAAGAAAAGCATTATCCACAACCACCTCCACGCACTAGTTTGTAGCACACACTTCATTGTGAAAGCACGTAGACTAGCAAGCTACCATTACTATATGAAAATCAATCTGTAGTTCACTAACATTTTTCAATGAAAAAAAGAAAAATAATTATGTAGTCCTACTTAAAACTCTTTACTCTTTAACATCATAGCTCCTGGAATAGGAACACCTGCCAAAATCTACAGTGCAGTATCCTGAATTAGGCATGGGAGAAGCATTTCAGTTCTTATGCACAAAATCATTAGCCTGAAATGAATACAATTTCCTTCAACTACCTTATAACATCTAGAATGATAACTGTTAGGATTTCAGGCAGAACTGTTACTATAAGAAACATCTGCTGGAGACAATGACATTTTGACAAAATAAGAAATGTCTTCAAAAAAACACATGGATTCAGAAGATTTCAAAATGGGAAGGAAAGGAGTGAGAAGAGAGAGATCATTTGGGTGTTTGGGCATATATTTTTCTAAAACTTAAGAACAGAGTATTCTCCGTAAAATAGAAAGCGTGCATGGAAAAAATACACAGTGTATGTGAAATTTAAATACAACCACATTTAGTATGC